ATGATCACTAGGACTTTTGAAAGTCAGATCTGATAGCTTTATCTTGAAGTTTCTCTAGCGAGAGATGATTACAACACCCAGAAAGTGAACAGGCATAAAATCCTAGCCATATATACACAGGATGGGTGGGAGAGAAATAATCAGGATGATTCAGAAGACTGAAAGCTGAAAGTCCATATTGGAAGAAGTGACAAGGGTCAAAGTAAACTTGCTTTCTGGAGAAGAATGTGGAGCTATAAAGTAGGGTTTGTTTTTTTTTACTGGAGAGTAGTTCTTGATGAAATATTTAAGTGAACTGATTGTCCCCAATGGTCAAGGCTGAGAGTTACCTTTCTCAAGTGCAGCTGAGATACCAAAAGGGCTCTAAGTTCATGTTACAAGAAAAGGAGTTCAGTTATTCATATTGTTCCTAATGCTATTATTTATATTTATATTCTATAGTATAGAGAAGAGGATGAATACCGTGGCAGAACTTTAGGTGAATAGTCAATAGATCTTAGAGTGATGGGCTTGTAAATGATTACAGAAATACTGTTAACATCTTCCATATTCATATATTTAAAACATTAAAACCCTAAAGCAGTGGTGGTGACATCGTGCCGTGGGCTGGAGGGCTGGGGCCACGCAAGAAGCCCGCTTGGGTGGGAAGAGAGGGAAGCCTCAGCCCACCCGTCCTTGCTGCTCTGCTCCCTTAGGAAGCGACGTCCGGGATCCCCTCTCCGCGTCTTTGGGCACGCGAGCCATTGCCTCTTACTTTTCTGGGCTCTGGCACGCTGGTCACCCAGTCTTCATGCGCATATGCGTGCCAGAAACCGGAAGACCAGATGGCCAGCGTGCATGCATGCACCAGAAACTGGAAGATCATCTTCCCGTCGTGCACATGCATACGGGAGGCTGTTTTTCCAGTTTCCGGCACTCCCACACACATGAAGACCAGCTGGCAGGTGCACCAGAATCCAGAAGAGCAACGGGTGATGGTTTGCGTGCCTGGAGAGATGGCTCTGTGTGCTATTTCTGACACATATGCCATAGGTTCACCAACACGGCCCTAAAGAGACTTCATAAAGTCCCCCAAGACCAGTCTGTTTGCTGAATACAATACTATGGTATTTATTTCTATTGAATGCTCAAAAGATTAATTAATTTGAATCTTTGTTTTGAAAAAGAAATATATACTTGCAAAGCCCCTAAATATATTTAACCTTTTAAGCATTCTCCTTTTATAAGCCTGTTGTTTAGATAGACAAGAGCAAAACAAGTATAGCTGCTTAAGCATTGCAGTTCCAACTATTGAATCAACTGCCTCAATAGGTAAGCAATAGCATTTTTTTCATACAAAGGGAACTTACAAATATTTAATAGTATTTCTTTTTGGTATGAGCTTATGTCTGAGGCAGGGGTGTTCAACCTTGGGAACTTTAAGAGTTGTGGACTTCAGTTCCCAGAATTCCCCAGTCAGTAGAGGTGGCTGAGGAATTCTAGGAATTGAAATCCATAGGTCTTAAAGTACCAAGATTGGACACCCGTGATCAAAGGGCAATGCAATATTCATTTTCCTGCACAACAATGCCCCTTTAAGGAAGGTTGGACTAAGCGAATGACTGATTCAAAGATACTTGGCGGAGCTTACATGGCTAGAGGCAGACTAGAATCTGAAGCTCACTGTTTCTAAACCAGCATTTTAACTACCACACCACATTGTCTCTTAGGGGTGATGGCTCTATCATAATCACTGACTTTAACACTAATCTAAGATTGTAGTAGTTGTAGGGCTGATAAAGACAATATTCATAGTGGGATCTATTGCATTGCATGTTTGGGGGAGGGAATGAATGATCCCCCCTTCTTCTGCACCCAATTTGTCTATTGTACTTAGAGTATCACCGAACATTTACAAAGGGATTTAATGTCTGAACAAACACAGTACTCCTAAAACCTGATATTATATATATGATATATCAGAACAAATGCAGAAATTCTCTGCACTAGATTTAGAGAACAGAACAATGTGTATTTGTATAATTCATGTTTATTTGTAGTGGGTTAATGATAGGCATGTGAATATTTGTGACAGGTGAATCAAAAGAGAAAGTGTATCCTTGCTCCCTATTATAAAAAAATGAGTATATCTAGGTAAATGTACTAAAAAAGAAATGGGTTATAAACACAGGCTTGGTTTCGAAGGCCAGCTTGTTATCTCTTGATTTGCTTAAATCAAAACTCATAATAGCTTCTATTCATGACTCAAGTTTGAATTCTGAAGAGAATAAAAATATCCCAAATTTATTTCATATCAACTAATGTGGTCATATGACCACATCCCTTTTTTGTGTGTGAATTGTGAAATACACTTCTGATTTTCTTCTTTCTCACTTCTTATGTCATACTTTTCTGTGACAATCAACTGTGTCAGTCTATATGACAAATAACTTTCTTACAGCCATGTGACAGCTAGTAATAAACCACACCACAATCATCAGACATGGTCAGAATTTCAAAATCTTCCCTTGGAGGTTACTTGATTGGATTTTGGGACTTCCAGTTACATTCTGAGCCTACTTTTTGTTCTGTATCTGCTGGCTTCAGAGATGACCTCTCTACTTCTAAGAGACACTTCTGGTGGCCATTGATGAATTGACCTGTCTAGAAGCTTTGTTCATTGCTATAGAGCAGGGGTGTCAAACTCAATTTAATTGAGGGCCGCATCAGGCTTGTGTTTGATCTCTGGGGCCGGGGTGGGCGTGACCAGGGTGGGTGTGGCCAGCTCAACGTCACTTGTGTTGGGAGTCCCTGTGGTAGCCTGAGCACTCTGCCAGTGAAAACAGGCTCCTGAGCTCCATTTTCAGCTGTGATGGCCTCCTGCAACATTCTGCTAGTGAAAATGGAGCTTGGGAGGGCCACATGCGGCCCTTCCGAGCTCCGTTTTCTTTGGCAGAGGCACTGTGGGCCGGTCCTTCGCTGTTTCCAGGGCAGCCCTGCAGGTCAGATCTAAGCACCCCACAGGCCGGATCCAGCCCCCGGCCCTTGAGTTTGACACTGTGCTCTTTTGAAAACAATATTGTTTGTGTGTCATGGGCACACTCATACAATAGTATTCCTACAAGAAAATGAAGAGGTTTTATGGCAGTAATATTTAATACTGCAGTAATATTTACCTCTGAATAGAGGTAAAATCTCCCAAAGCTCTACTATTACTTCCATCATTACATCCAAATAAGAAAGAACATACTACATGAATCTGTCAGAAGCAACATTTGGAAAAATGGTTTGTAGTTTCCTGTTGTATGCACAGTTAATGAAAAATTCTCTAAATCAATACAAACATCACTGTTTCTTTGTGACATATGAGAGATTCTAGTGTTACACTAAAAAGCACTTTCCCCCAGCCTTCTGATCTCCGGATGGGTTCAAACTAGAGGTCTCCAGATTCATGGCCCTTATTGTAGATAGGAATGTTATGGTGAAATCCTTAGTGCTTGCTGAGCTTGGTTATTGGCTTGTGTGCTGATGGTATTAGTTGGACAACAAAACAAACATCTGCAAGCAAACATCTGCAAGCAAACATCTGCAAAGAGAGCACCAAGGACTCCACAATTCAACCTTGAGCTACAGTTATTCTTTTCTATTGGAATGTTCCTGGAGGGCATCAGGTTGAGAGAAATTTTTAAAATCATCCAGCACACAAATAGAAGCAGAAAACTTTAAATTGTCACATGATCTGGACAGCAAGCTCAGCGCCACACTGAAGCAAGATGACGGTGGGTTAGGACTTGCAGAATAATTGCACAAGGAAATCCTCAAGACGAAATATGCAGCCAGTAATTTAATTTAATTTCAATAATTAATTTTCTGTTCCTTCCTTTGGAAAGGCAAACAATAAAAATTAGAGATGGAAAGGACAATTTTCCACCAAGTATGAAAACCCTAGTTAATAATTAGATTATTGATTGTATAATGTGGCATGAATAGGTAGCTACGATTTATCCATTAGGTGAAGTATCTTTTGTGAACTCTCTGTCTTCCACAGGAGAGATCCATTGATCTTTTATTTTTTAGTAGACACAACCTTCTTCCGAGAAAGACTCTTAACTTGCAATTGCCTTTCCTTGTTCGTGGAATTTTATGGAGAGAAGAGTTGGAAGAGACTTTGGAGGTTTTCTAGTCCAACCCCCTCCTCAGGCTGGAGACCCTATAAAATTTCAGACAAATGGTTGTTCAATGCTTTTTGTTTTAACAAGAACCACTTATTAGCTGGGTTACAAAACCACAAACGCAAACAGGCAGGCAACTTGTCTGGGAACACCCATGTCCCTGAAGACACCAGCTTTGGTACTTAGTAAACTGCTGGCTCCACATGGCTAAAATTTTGATGATTTGTATTTCAGGTTCTTTTAAAGCAAAACATATGAGGAGCTTCAAAGCACCTGGATTGACAAGAATGCCTTGAGGCTTCTTAGATATTACGAGGAAATAAAAATAGTAGGCATCTGCCTGCCAGGTCTTTGTTTGGAAGGGTGGTGCCTCCCTTTCCAGAAAAATAAGAGAAAGAAAGAAAAAGTTTGGATAGAGAGAACAGGAAGGGAAACAATCATTTTGTCTTCTATTAAAAGGATATTTGGTAATCTTTCCATGGCAAACATGCAGCAAATGTGAAGCCCTCTTCAGGGCACCCAGACAGGCTTTCCAAATCCCAGAAGGCCCGATTGGCTGAAAGGAATCACCTCCCTGCCCATGTGCAGCTTCTGACACTATCATTCTAGACATCTCCCTTTAGCTTCTAACCCCACTGGCTTCAGGGAGACTTTGTTCTAGATAAAGGGCACACCCACAGTTTGACTCTTTGGCTGGATTCTCTCATCAGGCTTAGCCAAAATAAGTTTCTGTTGGTTTTAGCTCAGCTTATTGTGGAAATTAAGCCAAAGATGCCTTATAAACTATGGCTCAACCATTTATAGCTTACCTGGGAAATGGACAAAACAAACAATACCTCAAGCCCTGCATTTTGTCATCTCTTTGTTTATTTAGGAAGACTGGAATTGCGGAGATGATATTTTTGGATTTCTGAAAAGAAAACAGAAATGTGGACGTTTTTCTTTGTCAAGTTGAAGTGAAGGAATCTTACTGTTTCACAGTGTATAAAGAAACATATATCCCTCCTCAGAAAGACTTGGTTCTTCCACAAAAAGACATTTTAGGTAGACTAAAAACCAAGATTGCTACATGAGATTTTTCTTTACTGCTGTGCCTGGGTGCCGACTTGGTGAGGTCTGAAAAGAAACATCTTGCAGCTCTTCGGTGGTTTTTTTTCTTCTTAACCTGAAATACAATAGTTATCAGTGTTAGCCACTCCTCTCTTGCTAAGGTGTTGATTACTACAAAAGAGATTTTGAAACTAGGTATAGACAAGTGTATTTTTACTAGCGTTGCCAGGACTACTTCCAAAAAATAGCAGACAAGCGGGGGGGCGGGGGGGGTTTAAGTAGTAAAAAAATAAAAAATTTTTTTACAATTAAATTATATATTTTCTTACAAACATTTTAACACGTATTAAAATAATAACTTCAAAACTTTACTTAAAATTCAAAACATCAAATATATTATAATAATATGTAAAATATTAAATTACATTTTAATTTCATCATAAAGCTTTTGAATAAAAAAAAATGTCCACTATTTTGTGAAAAAAAATAGTGAACATAATGTGAAAAAAGCGGACTGTCCGCTCAAATAGTGGACATCTGGAAACACTAATTTTTACCCAAACTGCCCAATTAAGCATTACCTGTTTTTGTGCGCATGTGACCTTTTTAAAAGGACTTAACAGAAACTGCTAACTGAATTCTCACACAGTTGGAATGCCAGAAATTATTTCAGCATCATTAATCAACTTCATTTGTATACAGAGCAGGATATCTCAGGTTAGTGATTCACACCTCCTGGTTGAATACCTCAGGTTATGCTGAGAATACTATGTGTGGGCAGGCTGAACTCTGCCAATGTAGGTTTGTTATTCTCTTTTGATTGATGCAAGGTGAACAAGCCTCCTTATTCAAGTGGCTGATGTTTTTACTGGCAGTTAAAACCGTTGTGTTATCAGTTGACATTAGCGGGAGCCAAAGGGGCAGGGCCTGCAGTCCACACTTCTGCTGAAATGGACTGTGACCTATGACAATTTATGCAATCACGAAAGGGTTAGTCTTTAGATGCTGCAGGTTTCTTTGTTGTATTTGCAGGAGATGTGGTTGGCTCACCTCTGTGTTGTGAAAAGCTTTTTGCAAATCAGCTGTTGCTAATGGTAGAGACAGCTGGGTTTTTCCTTGGTCAGCTGGCAACTCTTTTTGACCTCTCTTATGAAAATCAGCAACCTCTTCTGTGCTAATTCTGCTACATCAGCTCAATGGTCATATGAAAAGGAAGGGAGGAGAATCCTTGGTATCTCTTGTGATAATTGAATTGGACAAATAATAGTATTGCTATTTGTAGATCTTGCAGATTTTTTGGTTTTCCTTATGCCAACCCTTCTTTTTATGAGTCAGGGTTTTTTTTTTAGTTGAAGATGAGCCTGAACCTCTTATGTGCTTGGAGCTTTGCTTCTGAGCTCTGTGGATCTTGCTGGATCACAAAATTCCCAGAGCTGGACCCAGCCTAGCCAGTACAGAAGAATACATGGAGACACAGTTCAAAACTACAGGATGACCACAAGGTTCCATGCATCTGATTTGAAACTAGTTTTAGATTTTTCAATTCCAAAGACAAAGAAGATATATTTAGTGCAAATATACACCAAAGCATTGCCATTTGTTCTATTTAACATCGAAGGACAAAAGACAACCAAATGGGTAGCCTATTGTATGAGAAGAGCGTATCTTCCTTCTCCTAGCCTTACCACTTTCTACAGAGGGACAATTGAAAGCATCCTGTTGTATTGTACTACTGTGTGGTTTGGAAGTGTTACTGCTTTGGACAGGAAGGTGGTGCAGAGAGTGGTAAGGATATCAGAAAAGATTATTGGAAGTTCAGTTATTTCTATCCAGGACGTAACATATAAGTGATGCTTGACCAGGGTGCATAGTATTGTCTGGGATGCTACATATCCTTTCCATGACCCGTTTTCTTTGTTACCTTCTGGGAGGAGGCTTCGCAGCATCTGAAGCAGAACAACTAGATTCTGTAATAACTTTATACAATATATATCAATCTTGTTAACTCTCAAGTCTCTTTTTCCGCTATGTATTCTAAATCATCTGTGATTAATATATACATATGTATATGTGTATGTATGTATATGTATGTATGTACGTGTGTGTGTGTGTGTGTGTGTGTGTGTATATATATATATATATATATATATATATATATATATATATATACACACACCCTGCAACTCAGACTAAGCTGAGCACAACCAAGCCCCCACCCAAACAGAACACACCCCTAGCCAATCAGAGCACAACCAACCCCCCATCCAATCAGAGCAAGCAGACTGATAATAAGCCCAATCGGGCTTTTGAGAGCATGGTAATAAGGTGGAAAAGTGGAAAAAAGTCTAGTGTTGGTGGATTGGAAAGCAAAAAGTGTATTATACGTTTGGATGTGATATTTGTTCTAGAAGTAGGTCTTAATCTGCTTGGGAGAGATGCATTGTCTCTTCTGGGGTGTGAGCTTGGTATACAGATCTTTATTGTTCTTGGATGAGGCAGAAAACTCTGTAGGAATGTAGTAAGGAAGGTTTATTGTTCTTCTTACCTGAGGTTGAATGCGAATATTTTGTCTTTGATTAATGTGATGTGATGGTGATGTGTGTATGCCGGCTAATTAAGTGATCTTCTTGGCTTAGGTGTGTGTGTGTGTGTGTGTGTATGTATGTATATGTGAATATATATCTTTTGAGAACGGGCATCAGAATTTCATTTTTTAATGTGTGCCTGTGTGTTCACAGAAAAAAGTGACAATAAAGGTTATCTTATCATACATGCCCTACAGCTTATGTGGTTTCTGGCTGAGCCTCTGCTTTTTCTTCAGCAGCTTTTAATGGGCAATAGTTATTCAGTAACTGCTAAATAATCTGTTGGCTTTATGTCTACTGTATAAGTCTTGAAGGCTCAGGCAGATCAAAACTGAGGGCCTATCATAAGCATCCCTACTTCATATTGTACTTAGCTATATCATAGTTCATGTGCCTAATGTGTTGTGTCAGTCTCAAGTCATTGTGGCTTAAGACTAACTTAAGAGCTGTGGTGGCACAGTGGTCAGAATACAGTCCTGCAGGATAATTATGTTTAATGCTGATTGCCAGCAGTTTGGCAGTTTGAGTCTCACCGGCTTAAGGTTGACTCAGCCTTCAATCTTTCTGAGGTCAGTAAAATGAGGACCCAGTTGTTGGGGTGACTCTGTAAATTACTTAGACAGGGCTGTAAAGCACTGTGAAGCAGTATATAAGTCTAAGTGCTATTGCTGTTGCTCAGCAAGTTGTACTAACTCAACTCATTGTAATTTATTGAACCACAGACTATATCTGATCATAACATCATAAGCCCCTTGTTCTTGGTTCTGCAACTCATCAACAGTTGCTTCATTTTTGGTTCAAGCGGAAATGGCAGATTTCAGTCTTCCCACCTTCTTTCTTCCCCTGCTCTGTGAGCACTAGGTTTCGACACACCTACACTGCTGTATGAATACTGTAGCTCAAGGCTACAGGTTGACAGCCAATCTTGTACCATTGAACTGAATGGGGCTTATGTCTGAATAGACTTCTACTGTTCCATTGCGACTTGGGAGAAAGTCTCATTTTGCAGTGACACTTATTTCTTGTAAACTCACAAAATATTGCACTGTAGAATGCCAGCTTCTACCCGCTCCCCAGATTTCCCTTCGAATAATAACTTTAGTTGCATGGAGGGTGAAAGGGAGAAATGGACCCAGAAAAAGAATTGAGGTGATGGATACTGAAGCTAATGAATTATCCCTGTGTTTTTATTTTTATTCTAATTGAAGAAAAGTAAAGTGACAGCAAGGCAGCCGATTTAAAGGTAGCTGGGAGATCATTAAAATAGGGCTACCATCTCTGGCTTCAAAAATTCAAAAGAGAATTATATAGAACTATAGAGAAAAACATAACTTTTTATATATATCTAATGGAGTAGTTTTTCTGGATATTTATAAATGTATTATTAACTGCACCTGCTTCCAATCAAATAAAGCCTCAGTGGGGTCAACTGGTCATGGATAACATGGATATCATGGATAAGCAATGCAGACTAAACAAGGTGTTGTATGAGCATACCTACCATATTTTTTGGCACCGGAGTATAAGACACACCTTAGTTTTTGGGGAGGAAAATAAGCTGATTGGCAGGTGGATCGGCCCCCAATCAGCTGTTCCCAGAGGTGAATTTTAGCAACTTCCTTGGTTGTGAGCTCTGTGCCTTGCTTTTTTTCTGCCTCTGAAACTTCTGAAACTCTGTTTCAGAAAAAACTTTGTTTTCTGCCTCTGAAAGCCTCCAAAACAGCTTCAGAAAAAAAAGCCTCTGAAGCTCTGTTTGGGGGCTTCTTTTCTGAAGCTTCATTTCTGATGATTTTTTCAGCCTCTGAAACCTCCGTTTGAGAAGCTAGGCATGGCTACATTCGGAGTATAAGACGCACCCAGATTTTCCCCCTCTTTTTGGGGGGAAAAAGGTCCGTCTTATACTCTGAAAAATATGGTATTTTATTATTTAGCTGTAAGTAAACATGTTTAGAAAGTGTCAGTACAAGCCTCTCTTTCCCTTATGGAATCAAGGATGTGTGAAGTTCCTATACCACAGGTAGGACATGACCAGGCTGAGCCTAAGGACAGGTCAAATGTGTCCTCATTAGTTTGGAATCGCTCTGCTCCCACAAGATATCTAGGTTCAACCCTCCGTAAATTCCTAAATTCTGTTGACTCTTATCTGATGGCAATTTGTCCTGAACTGATAGTAGATCAGATTCTTGTGTATAGGTTGCACGAAATAAATTTGTAGTACTTGGAACTAAACTTCTGTTCTTGGTTACTTGCTCCTCACACAAATCACTGCAACAAAGAACGGAGAGCTAGAACAGCCTACTATAATCCTTTTCTGTCATGTAAACAAATAAAATAAAGTAAGGGCTTGACACTGAAGAACGATCAATCTGGTGCAGAAATTGCCATGGGGAGGGGAAGGTTATGTAGTCCTGAAAATTCAGCCAAATTAGGAACTGAAATGGCATGTTTGAAGTGAAATGTATTACACAAAGAGGCAAACAAAAGTGGTGGATGCGGTTTGGGAATGACCTTGTTTGCAGTGGTCAGCGAGAAAAGTAAAGAAAGGAGATTATTGTGCATGATAATTAACTCTGGAAGCCTGCCAGGCTTGGTCTCCAATTACTTCTAAAGCTTTCGCCAAGTTTCTTTGGTAAATACGTTAATTTGATGGGTTGGAATGAGCTGGTATTTCCACAGTGAGATTCTTTCTATTTAGATAATCTGCAGATCATTTTTAATTGATTAAAGAAGCTCTTCACTGGCTACAGTATTCCCTACCCACCTCCTGCTTGTGAAAGTTTTCCTTTGATTTGATTTCCTCTTGTTTTTCTCAGTCTATGTTGGGGTGAGAGGGGAGGCCAAGAAGTTTTAGGGTACAATGAAATTCTTTCCTTGGACCACTGGAAATCATCCAGCTGGAGCTTTTTCGATTTTAGAAGGTTAACCAATATGTCTTTGTATCTAAGCAGCTTATTGCCACACAGAATTCTGTTGTATTTTCCTCCAATCCTTTAGATTTAAGGATAGAAAATTTCCTTTTAAAGTAACTTTCAAGGATGAAGAGAACATTGGATAAATTCTTATGGGTGGACTGTTAGTCATTTTGCATGAGTTTAGTGCTGAGGTTTGACAAGCTTGGAAATAATGCACGTATAGTACCACCACCAACACAGTTACTTGAAATAAAAAATCAGTAAATACCATGCCTTTGAACCATTAGTCTCACCTGGTACAGGTAGTCTTCGATGTATGACAGTTCATTTAGTGACGGTTCAAAATTACAATGGCACTAAAAAAAGTGACTTATTTTTATTTTTCACACTTACAACTGTTGCAGCATCCTTATGGTGACGTGATCAAAATTCAGATGTTTGGCAACTGACTCATATTTATGACGGTTG